AACTCGATACCCGTGCGATTTAACACTGTTGTATAATGCGGATACGATGACGCTCGTTCCATATACTTTGCAGTCGAGTACAGAGCGGCGACCACTGACCACGCGAAGCATGCATTGTCCGTCGTACGCACATTGATCACCGCTCATTTCGTTGCTATTTCCCGCGGCACTTCGACATGATATCCCGCGCGCATGGGATTTAATTTATTCACGTTAACAGACAAATTCAGTATATGTGATAGCGCCCACCCGCTGTCGCGTTCCTGGAACTCTTCGAGCGATGACAACGTGGGCTCGATGACGTGTCGCTTGTACCACTCGCGCAAATCAGTGTATCGGTATATTTCGATGTTCGTAATGTTTATACCTTTATTAGCACGTTTATCATTCGCCACGAACTCACCGTTGAACGCAGTGTTCACCTTCACACTACCGTGTCTTTCTACAGCGTCTCGAACTTGCTCGAGCATTACATCGCCAGCGTCTTCTAAAAACCGTCGCGGCTCGATGTAATCCGCGTTGATCACCGCACCGGTCAATATACGACTTTCAAACGCGGTGTCGATCTCTCGCCAGACGAGAGATCTGTCGTTGCCGCTCGCGTACTCGCCACCAACGTGCACGAACCGTCGCTCCAATTGTGTCTTTGCACCCGCGAGTCGCGCAATCCTCGCCACCATGTATTGTCTGTGCCCAACGGCGAGACGCGGACGCTTGGCACGACAAAGTTCTTCGAGCCGCTCTATGCGCTCGTCGCACCTTTGCAACCACGCGAGACACTCCGCCAGATTAGCGACTTGGCCGTACTGCTCCAACAGTTCACGTTCCACTCGCTCGTGGTTTTCCATGTCTTTTTTCAGTCTTAGATCACGTCACACTCTTCCACGGAGCACTTGCACGTGACTTGTTCACACGCGTTGCAATGCCGGTTTATACATAGATTGAAATAATCTTCTATCAACTTGGTATTATATTCAAGGGCGAAGATGCACTTTTCACACTTATAGCATCGATCATCGCATATGTCAAGAAACGGAATCTTATCGCAGTCGCAATACTCTGTCCATATATTGTCAATTATCAGCAGTTTGACGCACTTCTTACTACCCGCAGGAATCTTAATGCACATGCAGACACGCTCGCTCTTTTTCACGATTTTCTCTACCCAATAATGATCGTCCTTTATTACATTGAAATTGTGAAAATTTCTAGTCCACCAAGGTCTCTTTTCATAGTCAGCATCATCCTTGTAATATTCATCTTGAAACCGTGTGTACACTTTCTGTCGCGCTAGTAAAGACCAATCATAAATGGGTTCTGTGATAACGACCCCCAATTTCCCTCCGCGTATACCTAATTCTCGATCGCGTAGGAACTGCACCGGTGATATTCGCGTAACTTCGTCTCTCCTCTGCGGATTACGGAGAACGTACAGCACATCGAAGACGGCAGGGTTATTTTCATATTCTTCATCTGCCTCGTCTATGATACCCTCAAGCTGTTCCGCGTTTCTGATATTATTGAACACTATGTCCTCGACGTTCGCACGATGGTCAGCCATACTATCGTTTCCGTTATTGTCACTTTGAAAAATAATTGCGAAGGATTGAGCGGTTTATGTTGGAATTCCTTAATGGGGTGTGTTAAGTAGAAAAATTGAAGATTCAGATTGGCAGGATTTTCCGCTTTTGGTGGAAAATTTTTGTTTCTCAGATTGTTATTGGAGACCTATCTCTAAATTTGCTCCACCCACTGTAAATTTTAAATTCCTAAAAATTCATTGGTGATATGCCGTCTCTGAGGATTTTGATTTCGAGAGAGGGGATGAACTTATCGTCCCTTCCAAACCATCTAGTTGTGATTCACATCATTCTTACGTGAGTTTTTATATTTCCTTTGTTCAATCGCCGGTTTTCTCTTCTATTAGTTGAACATGCGATTCCACATCTAGACAGTATTTGCTTAGGTTGGGTATAGTTTATGACTGTTAATCTTGAAAAATGAAAAAAATCTTCATATTTGTTTTACCAGCTTTATGTTATCGGCAAGAAAAAACATCCTTGGACTTGAAAGAAAGAACTGAGAATGCTGTGTGATTTCATACTTCTTTGTTACACTAGAGTATCACTATCATTTACTGTAGGAGAGTTATGTTTTATTGAGCAGTCGAAACGTCAGCACTTCTCTTAAACGCGTCGCAACATATCGTCTATATCCACCTAAAAAAAATATCAGCGCTTCTTGGTCTTCTTTGTCTTCGTTACCGCATAATACTCTAACGCATTTTGTTTGGGTGGGTACAGGGTGGCAGTGGTGAAAAATACCGAATGCATTGTAAAACGATACATTTATGACCTATTAATCAGGGTCCTATTTTTTATAAACAGTGATGATTTGGGTCCTAGGTAAACAGCGGTACCGGCGACCCTGGGACCTTCCCCGCGCCCCGTTCCCGCTCGCCCAGTGACGTCATACCCCCACCTCCGAAGAATCCCCGCGCTCCGTTTCCCCTCGCCACCGAGTACCCCCCGCGCCCCGCGGGTTAGAACCCGCCTAGTATATCTACTGAGATCGAGCCACCTTTACGGTGACTTGCTCGATCCCATAGCATAGCTTGCAGTCCCGCTCCCTTAACTTACGAGCGCTGGACTTCAAGATGCCGAAAACGTAGTTCCTCTCCTCAAGGAAAGCATCTACGTTTTCAGCAAAGACGCGCCAGTTCAGTGCGCCGATGCCCGGATTCTGCCTCTCCAGCAGCGCCAGGACAGCAGCCGCGGTTCTCGGAGGTCCCGGAACTCAGACCACCGCCCTGTGCCGCCTCTGAAGCTCGTCCAAGCCCACCACCCTGAGCCTGGCGCCCTCCCAAGGCACGTTGCCCCCCACCCAGCCTTCCAGCCGGCTAAGGGACGCTGCGTCCTTACTTCTAATTATGATTGCCCCGTTCTTGAGGATAACCGGTCCCACGAATCTGGGCAGGAGACCCTCTTGGATCCCCTCCATCTCCGCCAGGATCGCCCCCCGAAACAAGGTCAGCTCCGGAATGATCCCCTTCTCAGGATACTCCTCTAGAACCGCCCTTGCCAACGGGTCAGCCATGGTCGCAAAGGTCCCAGTTGCCTGAGCCCTAGGCCTCTTCATCGTCCTCTTAATCGATGGGGGGGTTTGGTCAGAGCCCGCGCGGCGCTTTTTACCGGTGAGCCCTGTATCCCCCTCCACCGGTTTAGTAAGGGCCATCGAGGGACACGGAGTCTGCCCTTCGAAAGCCTTCTCCCTGTCCCTCTTCGCCCTTCTCTTCTAGGCTCCGCTGCAGTTCCTCTTGTGAGGAGCCCCTGCGTCACCCGCCTTGCTCCCATTTCTTTCCGAGCCCGAGGGGGCCCGTTTCGAAACGGGAGCCATCTCCATTTCCGCAGCTACCACCTCGCTTTCCGAGCCCTCGCAAGCCCGTACTTGCGGCGCGATTGCTGCCGCCTCCGCCGAGTGCCCTTTGGGGCCCTCGATTATCACTTCTTGAATGATATTAATATTCTCCATACAAGTCCTACGAGTAGGGAACGACAAGGTCCGCCCACGCAGAGCCCCGCATGCGTGAGTAAGGCTAAATACTCTGGGATTTCGCCCGGTGACCCAGAGGCATCGACCACTGCATTGCTCCCCCAGTACTACGCAGCCCTCACCTCGATAGCTCACAGCTTGTCTTGGGGGCTGGTCCATGGCGACGGCCTTCCCGGCCCCACGCAGGGTTTTACACCTGGGGGGTCCATTTATAACTGCTACTACCCGGAGGGACCTCCAGTCACACGTGGAGTTTCGCACCCGGGAGACCGGGCACCTCTTTGGACGTCCTCCTATCCGTCACCCGGAAACGCGCCCAATGGATATTTTAATGTATATCTGAGAAAATTAGATTCCAATTCGATTTGTTTTCGAATCAAAAAGATTCGATTCGATTCGAAGTAAAAATTTTTTATTTGATTCGATTCTCGCAAATGTTTGATTCGCATACCTCTAAATCATAAATTGTATCAGCGAAATAACTGTTATGTAACGCACGTGTTATATTACATTTATATTGTTGAGGGTGAAATTATAACATCGATGTTATATTATTATTACTAAATGTTCACTGGGTAGTATTTAAAGGTCACTCAAAATATTGCGTATGAATTATTATACTTATTTATTCTATTTAAATCAGTCTGTTTCCATTGCAATAATTTCAAAATATTTTATATTAAGATTAATTAATTAATGTGCGAACAATTCTAAAAATTACACATATTAGTAAATGTTTTGTTAATATTTACGAATTTATAAAATAATGAATGCTTATATACATGTAAATGGGGTATCTGGAACATATCTGTAAGTAACTACATACAAATAATTCAACAAAAAATCACTAAGCAAAAACTATTATAAATATAAATAAGGTGATTAACTTACTTTTGAATTTGTTTCATAAACGTGAATAGTATAGTAATGGGGATTCTAACTCGAGTCCTCCGAGGGATGAGCGGGGCGCGGGGGGTATTCGTAGGCGCGGGAAGGGAAGGGAGGGGATAGCGCGGAGAAGCATAGTGATGTGATCAGTGGTATCGCTGTTTATGTAAATAGCGATACCATTGATACGCGCCGCCACTGCCGCCGCCGCCGCCGCCTTCCCCAAAATGCGTTGTCCCCAAAATGCGTCGCGGTATTATTTAATATGACAAAGAAGCGTTCTACATGTATTATTTAATATGACAAAGAAGCGTCGATATTTTTCTCATATATTCAACAAAAAAACCATTAATTTCATTTAATTATTATTCTGTTAGTGACTAATTATTTATTTATTGTATTTAATTTATACATGTATTATTTAATATGGTAAAGAAGCGTCGATATTTCATCTATATGTCGCGGCACAGCGAGAGAAGCACCGGCTGCTGTTTATCTAAACGGAGTGCGCATAGGATGGGAAGTAAAGACCGTACACGGTGGTGCGAATGACAAATATTTTATTCACACTTTTTTACATCGTTTCCTTCGTACGTATTAATAGCTAAAGCTAAGAGCTCGCAATCGACGAGCTGATGCGTGTTGAAGATGCCGCTGTCGCGTATAACGTTCTCGGGCGCGATAATGGAGAATCGTGTATACTTGGCGTCAACCGTGTCGATGAGTCTGGCTAATCGTTCAAACCTTACGTTGATACACCCATCAAACTCGAACATACGGCGTAGCGTCGTTTCGGTCATCATGTATACGGATGAAGAATCGAGATGTACGAGCATAACGTTGTTCAGCGTGCACACTTTGACCGTTAGCGGTCCAACGCTTATGAAATTATCTTTGTACTCGTTTCGAAGCAGCTTGTAAATATTCCATCGATGCTCGTAGAGACCCTTCCACGTTTCGAGAGACAGCGACAGTTCGTGTCCGCGATGACCTCCCAGGACGATCTCCACGTAACTCGGTGGACCAACGTTGATGCCAATTTCCAAAAATTTGTGGCCCGTAGCCGTCAGGTTGTAACGCCTGCTCAGCAAGCGCACCGCGCGACGTTCCATGCTGTGTACGTACGTAATGTTAAAAAATGTTTTTTTAATTTTTTTTGTATATAGAACGTCGAAACTTACGCGTTACAGTCCTTCTTCGTTTCGAACGATGCACTGCTCTCTTTGGCGAAGTACATTTCTGAACCGTTCGTACAAGCGGATATCACAAGACTGATCGCACCCGCGTAAATTGCGACGTATATGGTGATATTTTTGAAATCTAAGAGGGAATATCCCCACCCCTATTTCCAAGAATTGCAAACTTGTTATAACACGTTTTATATTCTACGTATTTTCTTTGTTCGCGAGTTTATCTATGTTTATACGTACATACATACGTACATACATACGTACATACATACGTACATACATACGTACATACATACATACATACATACATACATGTATTACAGGGAAGGGAAAAAGAAATACGTAATAAGTACGTTTACGTATTTTTATTTAAAAAATTCTTTTGCAACTACCAGTTATATATTTTCAATACATTTTGTAAAGCGCAGTTCTTTGCATGTTTTCCACATCGCATAGTATTATTAGTAACATCTAGATTAGTTAAAGATTCCATGTCTTCGTAAATTGCATCCAAGGTCTCAATGTACATGCGTTCTCGCTCATCGGCCAGAAGCAAGTTTCACAGCCACGTTCGTTTCTCGCGTCCCTTGACGACTGCATCATCTTCAAATACCACCGTCGTAATCAGGTGTTTCGCTTCGCTGTACGGGACCATCCCGTTCTCCCATCGCAATCCATGGTGATATGCAATCAACCAGGAAGCGCAAGACCTGTCGGATCTTGTCAAAAATTTCCATAGTACGGGATTCATCAAAATGTAATGCGTGAGAACGGTCCCCTGTTTTAGCACCACCACTTCCTTCACAATAAATTTCTTGTTAACGATGAATCTTTGTAGATCCAACGTTGGTATGGGCATGTTATCGAGAAGAAGACTGTGGTTAGGTTAGGTTAAAAATTGCGACGTATCGCAAATTTTTATATCGCGTCGGAGGATGCACTTAAGTGATTTTGCGCACAACGTTGGTCAACGGATTATACTGAACAACACGATCGTGTATAATAAGGCAGTACGCGGTAGTATTGGCAGGCACGTTCTCCTTACATTCAAAGTCTAATCGCACGTCCACGGTGCTACCCTTGACCGATTCGTTCTGTCGAGAGCAATCGATGATCATGAACGGACCATCACGTAGAAAAGTCGTAAAGGTGAGACTCGACTCGAGATACTCATATCCGTAGTAGTCCTTGCAGAAACGCGCGTACAAGTTGTACAGAATCGCACATCTGTTCTTATTAAAATCCAGATTCAAATCATCGTACGGATAACATTCCGAGTTTCGCATTGGTTAATTTGCAATCGTTGAATCGACTTATGTCCTCGATCATGACATTTTTTCAGCCAGTTTGCAGAGCGAAGATGACGTAGCGCGGCTTCTCAAAGATGAGTAGCCGTCTTGATGGTCCACTTGCTTGGTTGTGCTCTGCAAGAGCGGAAACTCGTACAAATCTCACGAGCGAAAAGCCATGCTCAGATATCGTCCACTCTCCAAAGCGCGCAGCATCGACAGCTTATTTATCTCGCTCAAAAACACGTACGGCAATCGCCACTGTATTTTGAATAGTTCGAGCGTCGGCTCTGTCGTCGAATCTCCTATCAGACAATTGTTGTTGCGCGCTCGTATTAAAATCAACTCATGACGATCATTGATCACCACGCGTCTGTAATCCTCGCAGAATCCCAACAGTACGTAGAGCGGTACGCAGAAATTAAAGTATCCGGCCGCAGTAGTCTGCGCATCCCAGCCGGCATTCCGCAGAATCACGTTTTTGTCAGACGACACCATTACATAGTTTTTAAGCGTGCTAGTTATGCCCACGTTTCTGTTACGATCAATCTCCACACCGTTGAGTTCGTAACAAATCTCATCGAAGAGGAACGCGACGCAATTTTTCCCCAATACCACGTTAGCACCCTCGACCACTCTGTTCTTCGTCAGTTTTCTCTCGACGTATAGAAAGCTTCCGTACGGCAGTGTGTACAGATCCTGTTGTTGTATGGGTATTCTTATCTCATCGCTGTACCCGAACGTCGTGTTGGCGAACGGGTTGTACGTGTGAGTCTCGATCTTGACGATGCGATCGTCGAAGATCGGCTCGTCCTTGACGTTTAGGATATCAGTCATCTCAAAAGTTGCGCACCGTGAATCCCAAAGACTTTAAAAATTTAACGTTCGACGCGTTGAGCTTCTTCTTCTTCCTGATGCAGTTGGATGAGCGAGTGTTATCGAGCTGTGACGTCACCGGTCTTGTAAAGAATGCGTTATCTCTCTGCGTGCGATCTGTTCCGTTCAGCACGAGCATGTCACGCTCGCGTTATGCCGTCGCACGTGCAATCTGACGGGGATCTCTTCTCCTCGAAAATCAAGCAATCGTCCGTTCTGGTCGACGATGCGTATCGTTAGATCCGTAATGCTCCGTGCGATGATCGGCAGGTAAATGATCTGCGCCGGCCTTTCCGATATCTTATATCCCGGTGACACGTTCGGTGAAAATTCGTGTATCGTGTGCACACTTTTACCGTTGCTGTACGCGCCTGCGGTCACGTTACACTCTGCGCGGATAACGTTTACGTTCATTATGTTGATCGACACGTCCGATTCATGCCATCTTCGCTGTATACGTTTCGACGAGAATCCCAACAGCGATCCAATGCTGTTAGGTTTGCCAAAGTTTATTCTGTAGGTACATCTAATCTCACATCTCATCGTGTTGTAGTTTGCGCGGAGTGTTATCGGGTATTCTCCACCCTCGTTATCACCGTCATTGTTGTTGTTGTTGTCGCTGTGCGTCGCATCACCACGCACTACGTCAACGGTATCAAGTCGCGACGCGAACGTTTCCGTAAAATCGCACGTTTCAAAAATTCATTTATGTCTCGCACTTCGTACGAACCCTCGGGAATTATAATTTCCGCGTCGTCTTTGCCGAAATAAAATTTATTGTTCGATTCGTTCACGTTCGGTATCGTGTGATAAATCTCAAAAATCATTAGACCGAGCTCGTAATCACCATCGCTCAAATCTACGGCGGGAAAATAGTTTGCCGCGAGAACGCTGCTCTTCCCGCTCAGCGTAAGCGTCAGCGACATGACGGAAAAAGCGTTGCACGAATACTGAGATTTCACGACACCCCTCGTCGAGCTATTTAAACGCATTTTGGGGACAACGCATTTTGGGGAGGGCGGCGGCCCGTTTTGGGGAGGGCGTCGGCGGCGGCAGCGGTGGCGGCGACGCGTATCAATGGTATCATTGTTTACATAACAGTGATACCACTGATCGCGTCACCATGCTCGGCCTTCCCCGCGCTATCCTCTCCCTTCCCTTCCCGCGCCTACGAATACCCCTCCGCGCCCCGCTCCCCCCTCGGAGGACCTGAGTTAGAATCCCCATTACTATACTACTAACGTGTTTAATGCGTTACAGGATTTTTGTCAATAAAATAAGAAAAATAATGATAATAAAAATATTGTAAAAACCACAAACAGAAACAGTAGTACCGTATTATAAGTAAATATTCAGAAGAAAGGTAGTGATCCTTGATTAGAAAAGATAAAAGCCATACATATGAGTTCACATTATTATAAAAATAAATTGTAAATTGTCAAGATGTATAATGAAATAAAGTATTAGCGGATAGAATGTAACTGGTGATAATGCATAAAACAGCAGTACTATTTTTATCCTTTTTATTTCTTTCTTAAATTAATTTTTGAAGTCATAAAAAAACCTTAATATTATTGTTTTCGTATTATTAGGTATATGGTTTCGTAAAATATATTATTTTTAAATTTTTTTAGGAGATATTTATAAGTAGGCTTGGGAATTTTGGATTCATACGATGCTATAGAATTGTATTGGTTTCATTGGACATAACTGTAAATGTAAGATGGCATAGATGCATGAATTTAATATACAAATCTTGGAAAAAAGTTCAGTTTCGAGAGACTTCTTCCAACACGATTCAATGTATAAAAGGCGAATTTCGGTTCTTTCTTATGGCCCAACTTTAATATATTTTCATTTTACAGGAAACCCGGAAGTTAAAAACAGATGATTGTGTAAATAAAGATATTGTTCCACAAAAATCGAAAGAGATGTTGAAATTGCAACCTGCAAGTATAAGTAACGTAGATGATGTATATTTACAATTTACAAAACAATATGTACTCTCTTTATAACTTGTCTACTCATTGTGTATATGCAGTGTATATTATAGTGAGTTTATAAACATCGACAATCGAAATATGATTAACGCTCCTTTCCTCAGCTTGACCACATGTAAAACAGAGGAGGTACACTGAGGAGCAAAAAATCAGCTTGTACTTCGGTGTAAGTAGGTGTAGACGAGCGCTTCATCTGTGGGTTGTGATAGGTGGGATGATACGCTCGTTTACACCAACTTACACCGAAGTACAAGCTCATTTTTGCTCCTCAGTGTACAGTTGCGACATGAGAAAGGGCGCCTTTATTGATAGCTCTAAAACAGTTAATATATTAGGTTTAGAAAGTTTCCGCCGTTTTTTGCTCAAAAAATGCATTTATTTCAATAACAAAATGAATGAATACTTTAATCAAATTATTTGCCCTCAGAAGCTATGATCTTTTTGCTAAAAAAACACATTTATTAAGGTGTTCATTTTATTATCGAAATAAATGCGTTTTTTAAGCAAAAAGAGGTGGAAACTTTCCGAACCTCCTAATACAAGTACGACCTTATCTTATGACAAACCAGAGAACTTCTCGCAGCGCTACTATATATTCTTCATGTGTAGTAGTGGATATGTGAAATTTATTGTCAATAAATGCAGCTACAGTTAATTTTAATAATTATTAATGGGTAAGAAGCTCCAACTAGACCACTTTAGGGGAGGTTCTCATGAAACTCGACCAAAAAATCGATTTTTTTGCATTTTTCGATAGCTTATGATGTGTAGAATATGTTCCCAAAGCGGTTTGGCCGATAACGATGGCATAAGAAAGGAACCCATCTTTTTTCACGAAAATTGAGAAAATTGAGTTTGCGCTCGTAATGAGTATCTCACATCAATCTTTTTGAAATGATCTTGTGAAAAAAAAAGAATGTGTGGGCTACGTGCAGAAGAGAATGGGGGGTCCCGACTTCGAGCTGTAAAGAAAAA